TTTGTGAAGCTAAGCTTAAGTTTTCACTTTTGACGTGCAATCCTAGAGCCACGCTGTATTAAAGCTGCAGCTCGAATGTATGAGTTTGCTCAACCAAAAAAAAGTTGGTTGGTTAGCTTGTACAAAATTCCAACAAAAAAATAACAACATAATGCTTCTGTTTCGTAAGGTTAGCGACGAGAAAATTCCATTTTCGTCCCCAGGGGTGCGTCGTGAGGCATCTGCATTTGGATTGTAGGTCGAGCATAAATGTAGATGTATATGGGCCACACCACCCAACTACCATAATATGGTGATCGGTGTGCTCTCCTTTCGTTATTAACATTTCTATCATAAAACTTTGTGACAATTGGTAAAAATAATATGTGCTTACTTATGATGAAACGAGACAAGTAAACATTTATTTATTTTAATTTATTCAAAAGTAAATAAATAAATAATATGTATCTCAGGTTTTTTTTTAAATAACGAGAAGTATCAAATCAATTTTATTTAGTATGCTGTGACACGGCGATTTGATCCAACAAGAAAGTTCGGGTGCATAAAAATCAAAAACTTTGCTATCATTCGCACCCTGCACTGACCAATTTAAATTATTCGGTCCAATTTATCAAATCGCATCAACATTAGCAGACCATACATTTTGAAATGAAGCAATTCACTACCTGAGTTCTTTACTCCCGCCTCCAAGGTGACTCGTGACTTTTTGCCGAGGTTATTTTTTATGACCACGGCTTTAATATTACGATTCGGACCTCTTTGTGTGGTCGCTTTGTACCATTGTGGTGTCTGCACCTTAAATACAACTAAATATAGTACTTTCGCATACCTTTGAAGTGGCTTCATTATAAATTATTGTAGATTTTGTTTCATGCACTGTATAGCGTATACGTGCGTGTTCTTTGTATTTTTAGTATTAAAACAAGAGGTGATCAATCATTTTATTGATTACTATAATTTAAATAACATTCGTCTGCAATTGTTTCAAAGTAAAAGTAACCTCGATTTTGTACCTAAACTTAAAGTTTTTTAGGACTATTTGGGTACTAATTATATGAAGCGTTGCTGAAATAACAACAGTTATTAGGTACATAAAATACCATACCATAAATCCTAAAATACCATATATACATATAATATAAGCAACTTACATTTGCTTATATTATAGAAAATAATGCTTAATTTTTGATTAAAGTTTTTATGTAACAGTTGTCGACTTGTCACATGCATAGTTTTTATTAGATATTTTTTTAATAAAAAAAAATTAAAACTGTACAATATTAATTTTAAAATAATTGTACCTTTTTTATAAAACTGAAGTGACAAACGAGATTGCAGTCCACCTGATGGTAAGTGACCTACATGCCATGGATCTACAGCCAACTTTAAACGAAGAAGGCTAGAGATGCGTTGTCAGTTGTCACCTCTGAGATGAAATGACTCAAAGTCTGTATCTAATACTGGATACTTAAAGAAGGATACAGCTTCATAGAGCATAACACAGCAGTGCAATCACTGCTATTATATTGTACTTTTGAGTTTCAAATTTAATTAAAAATTATTCACATATCTCATAACAAATCCTATTTTTCTTCAAATAAAATATAAAAAGTTTTAAATAATAAATTTGAAGAATATTTTTATTTATACTATGTTTTTATAACACATTTTTAATTATAGTCTATGTGAATTCCAAAAATGGCGCTTAATATGTGTTAGGTTATTTTCTGAGGACGGTATATATGAATTATTTAAATTATTTATTCACTTATTAATTACTGTACTTCTTCAATATCTAAGCCTGTAATGGTAGTTGTAAGTACGAAATAAATAATAAAATAATTGTTTTTCCATATTATTTGCTCGACCTTATATGCGAGTTAAACTTAAAAATTTATTAAAATAATAAAAATATTAGAGTTTAAAAACACTTCAACAACACGCTTTGATTATAAGCTGTAATGATCATAGTGAGAATACTAGATCATGATCATAAATATTGTATCGTCATCGATTCATAATACGTATGCATAATTTCATATTATTCAGACGGCCGGGAGTGTGTGAATGTGAATTATAAAATTACATTACATTCATACATAAATACAAATATGCGTACTCGTAAATGCGTAAAAACAATCGATCTGTCAATAAAATTTAAATAGCTACGTTTTTAAGTAGTACCTTATAAATTTTCTCCCGCCAATCTGCAGTGAATTTACTGCTCGGTTCCGGTTTTAAAGGAAATTAGCCAGTAAAGTTACAAGTGAGTCATTTCGTGAGCACCAAAGTTGCATACAGGTTTCCGTATGCTGTACCAGCCACTTATCATTATAATGTTGATAAAACCTACATTCTACAGCTTAGGCGAAAAATTCTGAGTCCTTTAGCCCAACAACGATATAAGTAGTAAAAATATCGATAATCCCATTAAGTTCGATCTCCCGTGGATTCGGGAGTCGGCCACAGCCTCCTGGACCTGTCGCGTGGGACCGCGGCAAGTGGATGCCGACACGTACGTCCATTGTTCACCGACCCTACCCCTCCCGCGGTTCCCCGCCCGCTCACCCAATTGTCCCGACACGTAGATACGCGGGACCTAATCGAAAAAACCGAATAGCCCAATAGGACCAACACCAAAACTCTAATTGATGAATCATCAGTTGCTTTGGAGCCGGTCGCCATAATTTTTTTCATTTCTCTTGTAAAGTTCTCACCATTTATTGTTGGTAGTGCAATAAATAACAAATTTTTTACACGTAAAGTGTTACACTAATGCAATTTTATTATGTTATTAGATGGACGATCACGTAGTTCAGTGGTTAGAGCACCTGCCTGCTTGTGGGTTTGAATTTTAGCCGATTACAATAATCATCATAAAAGTTATAAAGGAGTCCAGTGAAATACAAAGGCCTTAAAAATATTTCAGGTAAGCAGGCAGGTGATGCATTTTGCCCATCTCCAGTCTGTGGAAATTAGGTTTTTTTTTATGTAAGAGGGAGATTGGCAAACGAACATGCGGCTCACTTGATTTTAAATGACTACCGCCGCCCATGAATAATTTCCCTGGTATTAGGTCAGCAAGCATCGTTGTGAGCATGTAAGGTTAACATAACCCACTTCCAGACCCATTCGTGCTACAACCATAATATAGCTGCAGCATGGCTCTACCACGTAGACGTGGTATAAATATGAGATGGTTATTCGCCATCTGTCAGAAGCTATTAGATGAGGGCTGGGTTATAGCGCTCTTATGGCGCACTACACGATATTATTAATAATACATTCTATAATACACAAAAGGAAAAGGCAATTATGAGAAATGCCACATAGACCTCTTGGCTTCTGAGTAACAGATTGCGATAAATACCAACCCGTTTACGCCCAACGTAACATACAGAAAGTGGCAATGGTGAGCAGCGTTAAAGGTACAATATGTGATACCGCGATTGTTTACTGAGCAGCTAATCATGGCGATAACGGTGAATCTTCCCTACAAATGGGAAGGTCATTGTTCAGTGTTTGACATAGATTAGAAAAAGAGTCTCGTAAAAAATACTTTTATTAGCAATAAAAAATAACTTTTAAGTAATAGAGCCACGCTGCAGCTATGTTATGGTTGTAGCATGACTGGGTCGGTTCGACCGGGATAGGATCACGTACCAGCGTAAAATAGCAGCTTAACGCTGCTATGTTTCGTATGGTGAGTGTAGAGAACCGGAGACTCATTTTACTGAAAACGAGGCATTCCATCTTAGTCCTCACGGCTAACAACGAGGTGTCTATGGACCAAAGTAACTACTTACTATCAGGTGGACTGTGTGCTCGTTTGTCACCCTTATCCAAAAAAAAAAACAAATAACCAGGGTAGATACCATGTAACCCTTTATGATAATACTATCGGGTAATTGAAACGTCATTATCGCCGTTTCTCGACACTCTTCTCTATATATCTCTCGATAATTGACGCATTCAATACAAACGACGCCAAAAATTAATAAATGGACAAATATTTACTTCAATAGTGTTTGCGTAGCAATTGCGTACCAATCAGGACTGGCTAGTCCACAGCTACTTGAACTTTGTAGTAGTCCATACAAAACAATACAATAGAATAACTATAACGTAAATCATCTGTACGAAAACTATAAAAATAGATACTATGGCATTAACTTTATTTCATTGGCAATTTAATTGTATTTTAATATTGTTATAGTAGGGATTTATTTGATATTTCAAATAAGTAGAGTTATACTCTAAAGGCTGTTTTCTAAAGATTACCTAGATAATTTATTTTCAAGTAATTTTTCCGATTTCCTCGTTATTATTATATAGAATAAAATACAATTGCATGAAATTCTTATTAACAATTGACGTGGTTATGGAATCACTTGAAACTTAATATCTAATGAATAAATTAAGAGTTTACTTACAAAGTACAAAATATACATATTATTCGTCCATTATACGCAGTATTATGCCTTGAAGATACGAATTATTAGTCATTATTTAGGTTTTATACATAATAGACCTAAAGAATATAGTAGATATATTATTTTAATGGGTGTTCAGATCAAATTATATCGTAACGAAAAAAGGCGGTTTATTTACTTCCTATGCTTACTTAGGTAAATAATAATTGATTACAAAGGTAAATAATCATTTCTAAGCATAAGTTTCGTATGAATCTTAAAGAAAGCGTTAAGTAGTCTCAAAACAAACAAGCGCGCAGGACAAAGTGCGTGTCATGAGCGCAACGGCCTTAGCCAGGGCCGGGCGGGCGGGCGCGGGCAAGCGCCGCCGGGCCATGGGAAAATCAGGCTTCGGCGCCCCCGCCCCGCGCGCCCATTGGGCCGCCGGGACCCGCCCCGCGCCCCACCCGTGCCCATAAATACTACGTCGCCGCGCGCATCTCCTCATTCCTCGCTCACTGCTCACTTGCAGCGCACGCGTTACGCGATATCGTTCAAAACCAGTGTTCGTGTTCAGTGACCCTCGAGATGAAAGCCATAACGGCGATGTGCGCGACTGGAGCCTCGGTGCCGGCTATCGCCGGGGGGCGGGTGCAGCGGCACCGGGATGGCGAGAACGCCGAGATACAAATGTACCTATCCAAGTTACAAGACTTGGTGCCATTCATGCCGAAGAACAGACGGATCTCAAAGCTGGAGGTGATCCAGCACGTGATCGACTACATCTGCGATCTACAGTCAGCATTGGAGAACCATCCGGCAGTGGAACAGTTTGAAGCGGAGGCTGCACTGGCGCCATGTTCGCCGCCTTCACCGAAACCGCGACGTCGTCCTCTCGGAGTTCGCACAACGCCAAACACCATCCTGCGCACTCGACCCACACAACACCATTCCACACACACGGTAAGTTACTAAAAGAATTCATATGTATAAGTTTGCATCTAGTACACTACTTTCTAAGTCTATAGTATTTAAAATACGTAATTTAATTATGAAAAGAAAAAGAACGAAGGAAGAATATTGTTGCATATCACAAATTTATGTTGTGCCTAAATTTTCATAAAAAAGTTTACAATTCTAAAAACAAATTTACATACGAATCTTAATTTATATTATATACATCTCTGGGCTGACTTCTGGCACACCGCTCGAATAGTAGACACTATTGCATAAAAAGTAAATGAAATCGGCCGTGTCGATGTTTTTGCGGCGCGCACCTGCACGTTTCGCAAGCGCGGGAAGGTAAGAGCGGAGATGCTGTGAGTTTCACAACACAAGTTCATTATACTGACAGCATAGCTTATAAAATATATCCCAAAACAGGAACTTTTATAAATTTTATAATGCGTTGTTTTATGTCAGTCATCAACGTCGACAACAATTGTGCATGACATTCTTTGGAAAGGTTAAATTTGCTGATTCTTGGTTGCGTTAGAACGTCATGAAATTTGCGGAATCGGTAAACAAGCAGTCGCAATCAAAACCGCTATTCACGCACGCGTGACGGCTGTTTTGAATTTCAGCCTTGAAGCGCGGCCACCTGCGCCGGCGCCGCGTAAACGACCATGTACTGACACACAATCTGAATATTCAACGACATATTTATGTTGCCTCGTTTAACATTCCGATTCACACCTGCGTACCGTCGCTATTTTGTCATTTCAATTCAGTCTTTATGTTCACTGTCAAAGTTCGTTTCCGGCTGACTTGCATTTAGAATACACAATTTCGATGCTCGAAACCGAAGCGAGATTGTTCGATAAATGTCCGCGACATAGCAGGTGCATCTCGCAGGATTTATTCGTCCACACGCCCAAAGCGCAATGCCCGCTCGTTTATACTTGGTCTCGCCACGTCAATTTTAATCTCTGCCAGTTGTTAGAACCGCGGGAAACATTCAAAACAAGAGTGATTTAGGAGACGCAAGATGCCTTGCGAAAATTACAACAGTATGAATGTCGCGGAATAAATGGACGCCGCGTGGTTGCTCTGCGATTATCCTCATTTTAGATTTGACTAACGAGCAATTAAGCGAAAGAACCGTATCTAAAAACTCTTGTAGCGTAGCGAAATTAACGTGCGTTTTAAATCATTCGTGACTATTGCAACTCTTTACTGTTTATAGATTTTGCTTCGAACTATTTTTACGTACTAAGTTATCTGTACTGTACTGTACCCGAGGCATAGGCAATTTGCGTTAAGTAGCAAATCACGTCCTTACGCGCTAACAGCTGCCGGTAATTGTCAATTACTTATCTGTATCCTTGTCCGATGACTTAAATTGCTACTGTTGTTACCGTACCGAACCGAACTACTTTAATTATCATGACTTATTCATCTACTTATAAACAACAAGCAACGACTGCTACAATTATCGTCTGGCTCAGGCGCCAACAATATCGCACTCTATCCTCGTTATTTATCAATATTACGCCTACACAATACAGGAACTAATAGAATGTAAATTAACGCGGCCAGATTCCTGAAGAGAGCTGAATATTGGATTGCAAAAGGACATATAAAGCGATCCGTAATTGTTGAACGAGTTCAAAAAAAAAAGTATAAAGCCCCAGGGCGATCGTGACAGTGCTCGTAAATTTATAGTGCGCGTCGTGAAGCGGCATTTCACGGTGGTATCTCTCAGGTCATCGAGCGCCGTGCCACATAGTTTGGTCACGATCACACGCCTCGGGTACTATCGGGAGGACTGCCCGCGGCCTTCTACCTATAACTCTCATGAAGGCATTATACCTATTACAGTTTTCCTATTTGGTTTTTACCGTATTGTTCGTTTCATCAAAGATCTTATATTTATTTACTTCATTTGCCCCGTTTGCCCTTTTACCGTCACGACTACTAAATGTCAGCGCATACTCTCTCACGGATTCTACGAGTACGAGTACTTGACTTTTCGCTTTGACCATAATAAGCAACTAAGTACTATAATGGACACGGTTAAGCGTGTAATCCATATCCACACCCCTTTATATTCGACACAATAGACCGCACCCCACTCATAAATATATCTTCCGTAACCTAATGTATACTGATGTCATTTTAATTTATTTCTTGAGTGAAAGTAATGAATCTTCACTGACTCAATTTTGTTACAAAATGTCGATATCACTTAGTCACCCAATTAAGACCCGCATGCTGCCTTTCAAAATCAATTAAGAAACTCCGAGATACAGCGAAGCTTAATTCGGTTATAAATATAAGTTTATGTGGCGGGTGGTTAAACATCCGATCGTCGATTCCAGCAGACTAGGAACGAAGCCAGATAAATGTATCGGCAAAGCCAGTTCGCGCCTACGCTCGCGTCCCCGTCGGCGAGTCGGCGACACTAACGAGCCGCCAGGTGTCCGCGCCCACGCAACCTCGCCCGCTCCTCTGAATATCTTTGTCTCCCCATACCTCGCGCATAAATCGCGCACGTGAAAGTTTTACGACCACCTTACGCTTCTCCGAAGTAATAAACCTCAAGGCTGTAAGTAGACAATGCAGCTTCACCGCGAAACGTCTCGTCGGACCTTTGCACACGTGCAGCGATTTTGCTGATCGCCTGGATTCCATCGCCTTTCGATCGATCGGGGGCATTGTTCGGGTAACGGTCGCTCACAGCTGCGCGAGCACACGTGGTAGCGCCGGTTGCGGATAGCTAAATAAATGCGACGCACCTATTCATTATCCGGCCGACAATGCTCGTCTCATAAAGGGATTTCACGTGTTCGCTCTCGCGAAGTCCCGATCCGTTCGGGTTCGGGACATGTGTGCTCTCCCTTCGGCATGTATCCGTAAATAGGGTGTGGCCACGTGCGGCCGTTCAGCTGTGTCGCGGATGTGAGCGGACGGGAAACAGTAATCTAACACTTGCCGATACTCGGAAAGTTGCACTGAAATTACGTCGAAGTACTACGTTAAATAAAGTCGGGCGTAACTCCGTCTGGCTGTAGTGGTTAATAGAGCAATCACACCATACGTGATGTCTGCACTCAAATTAGGGTAGCGTACAACTGGCCCATTGTATGGCCGCTAATGTATTAAAACGGTGATGAAACAGAGCGCATATGCGGTGACAGATGGCCGGACGCGGGCGGGATGTGTGTGTTGTACCCAATACTTGTAGCAATCACTAACAAGCACTCTATAGGGCTCTCTATGAGGGTCAGTTTTATTGGACTGCTTTAACTACACGACTATCAACATGAATCATAACAAACATTAATCATTATGAACTTTTGAATAACCCTCAATTTTCTTTGTTACAGACTCCTGAAAAACAAGATCAACCTGACAGGCCAATGTCGTGTTAAGTGAAGCTTAGGTTAATAAGGACATTTTAATTTATGGTGAAACGTGAAGGTATACCTCGAGGCGCGGAGAGCCGCCGGAAGACGGGACGCTGCCCGACTGACACCAGCGGGAGCTTCCGTGAGAGTTCCAGTGAACATCATCTCGCGATGATATCCTAATGCGATCTCGTTATGATCAATAAACTATGTTAATTTAATTAATTTGTGGCATTACATAAAGACTTGAGCATTGCAATGCAATAGGCCGGCGACGGCTGTTGTTGATAGCTTTTCTTTTTTTGTATAAAGCTTTACTAGTTATTAGGATGGACGTAAACGAGTTTGTAAATATATCGAGTGGTTTGCGGAACATCTAAACACTTAAATATATTCTGTATCAAAGTACTGTATAAAATTGAGAACACGTTGCGTACATGTTTCGTCTATGTACATCTTTTTTACTATTCAAATCACGTCTAGATTCTTAGTTTCTTAACGATGCTTCCATTTATATCAAAGATGTGAATCAATTTTAAGTTGATTTACCTATTTTAAGTTTAAAACTTCTCTAGTGTGATTATGCATAGCGATTTTGTTGCTATTAGAGATAATGGAGAATTTTGGCCGTGTTTCACGCGAGAATCCCTTTTTTAATTTAAATCTTGCGTTAAACACGCGAAATGTGTAAATAGTGTATGTAAAGTGAAAACATATATAAAAATTTAAAGGCAAATTATCGATTTGAAAACTATTTTGATTTTATTTTGAATTTAAGGTGAAAATGCTTTAATTATCTTATATAATTCTTATTATGGTGTATTATGATTTTAATAGACTGTTATAGTTTTAGTTATTGAGGGATGCGTTGCAAGTGTCAAACAAAATGTATTGTTGATAGAATACTAGATATGTGGTGTGATGTGGCATTGTATGCCCTAGATTCCGACTGCTCCTTCACACTTTAAGGCAGCTAAGTTACGACATAAGTCACAAACTGTATTACTAAGTAGTTCGGAACTTGACAGTTTTGTTATCAATAATTTCATCTTTGTTTCGATTTTGAATATGTGCACTGATTTTACAAATGAGCCTACTCTTTAACCAGACAAACTAAAAATAAAAAATATTATAAAATATATCTTCACTTTTATATTAATACGTGCTCCTTTAACCTTTTCCTTTTATTCAAGAAGATTTAATATAATTTACTTAAATTTTATATCATACTAGCTGGTACCCGGCGCGTTGCAGCTGCAGAAGAAATAATTGCGGAAATATCGTTTTAAATTTTCAACAGTTGTATTCTTTAATTGAGAATGACATTCGTTAAATATGGATGATATTATGTAACTTTCAAATAAATTTGTCTTTACGATACGCGCGCCACCTACTGTAAGTTTATTGTAGGTATGCCTATAACCTTCGCAGAAGTGCAAGCAATATGTTAACAAAGCCGCAATCTGATGAACGGTGTGTTAGCGCATAAAATACGACATACAATATACAAACAATCATATACTAGCTGGCCAGGCAGACGTTGTTCTGACCTTTCCGACGACCCTTCCTATGAAAAAATCATTAAATTCGCAATAAAAAAATATTGAGAGTCACTTATCGGGATAAAAAGTATCCTATCTCTCAAGTTGGACCAAACTGCACACAGTGTACAAAATTTCATTGAAATCGGTTCAATAGTTTAGAAGTTAAATCGGTTCAATAGTTTAGAAGTTCATCGCGGACAAACAATGTCACACGTAATTTTTTTTACATATAAAGATTAGATCATGACATTTAACCGTGTCAAAACATCGTTTTGATAAAGTAAATTTAGTATAAGTATTTATTTGGCACCCTAACTATACTTTAACTTTATTAAAATTTAACTTTTTATAAAAATTAAAAGACCGACTTCAACCAACGATAAATGAGAGAAAAAGAAGGAATTTATTCATATTTATTATTTATTACAGCCTATTAAAAACCCACTGTTGAACATAGGCCTCCCCCACGGGTTTCCTCGTAGAAGTGATTTTGCCATATTTGCCACACTTGGCATTCTAGTTGGCAACACATACCCGTTGGTTTTTAAAAATAAAAGGAGGTGCTGAATTCGATTATATGTTTTATAAAAAGGCAATAAAAATTTATCGATATTTTTCATCTATCGCGGTAGCGTCGAGGTGTATGCAACATATTTTTTTTATAGAATATGGGTGACAAACGAACACACAGTCCACTTAATGGTAAGTGAATACTGTGGCCCATAGACATCTACATTTATTCTCAATTAAGAATCAAAATGCAGATGCGTTTTAACCCGTGAGGACTAAATTGGAATGCCTTGTTTCCAGTAAAAAGGGTATCCGGTTCTCTACACTCACCACACGAAACAGCAACATGAGCGTGTTCCCACCCCGGTCGAACGGACCCATTCCTTCTACAAACATAATATAGCTGCAGCGTGCCTCTACCACGTATAAATTATACATGGACCCAGACTCTGTGCAAATATTTGTAGGATATAGCAATACTTGCCCGTGCTTGAATAGAACCCGCAGCTAGCTTTGCCGCAGAAAAATGCTTAACAACCACTGTACCGAACCGCTGCTTAACCAAAGTATTTTATTTTGAACATTTATTTTAGCTTTCTTTTCTAAAGCCTTTTAAAACGCACTCAGACGTGGAGCATGTAAAAGAAATCGTTAAGCTAATTTGAATCCAGTTACATCACGAACAGTGTTCTGATCACTCATAGCAGGCGTATTGGCGATGTCAGTACCGGATATTTCACAGTCTTGACGCTGCTACCCGTCGCCGTTTTTAAGCATTTTCTTTATTTATTTATTTTTCTTAACATACACAGCATTGTTATAGTGCCATTAACGGAAGTCACAATATCTTCCGACCATTCTCGGTTGCCTATTACAACACCGATGGGATGAGATGACTCACCTATCTGATGTGTTTGGTCATCGAGTGGTCTATTTTCCGTGATGTCAGTGCAACAGCAAGTTAACAATCCAATTATTTTACTTCGTCATATTTTAGTAATTGTTGTTTTAATTTAAAAATGAAAGAAGTGTCATCAGCAAATAATACTATATCATGGTTATCCCCAATATGAAATAAGGTTGTTTAGATGTTTGTCCTTCAATCACGCTCAACGCCAAATGTGCTGCCGGGACACATTTCAATGACATTTGGTATAGAACCCATACCAAATGTAAGATTTTTAGACCATAGAAATCTAATATGTACTGTATTAGAACATAGAGTACTTTAAATGACATTCACCTGCGTAATTGGGGCAGACGGGTAACAACTAGTTCTGAAATGAAAATTAAAACTAATTAAGAGTATTAAAGAAATCCATTATTTAAGCTTTATTTAAATCAACTGTCGAATTAATCCTTCAAATAAACAATAATTATCGCCAATCGAACCTCCGACATTACGATTAGATAAAATTTAAGTATGTTATTAAAATATTAAAGACTTCTCATGTCTTTAATAGGAGTCACACTCAGCGGTAGCAAAATCATTCATTTCCATATTCTTACCACATTGATTCCAACTTTCTAAATAGCATTTGTGTAACAGGAACAAGTTATGTTACGATAAGGCTGACATGTCCTTGTAGAATAAAAGGCTTTTTAAATAAAGATAGATAATTTAAAAAAATATTTTAAAAGTGCGTAAAGAATTGTGCTTTCTAGCGACTATTTGGATTTTTATCATTATGAATTTTCTTCTTCTTATGAACTGGTAAGGGGTCCACTAGTAGCTGCCACAGTCCACACTAGGCCCTCTCCTGTAGGAAAGTAAAATTATGCGTAATCAACACTCATGGCAGACGTATTGGCGATGTCAGTACCAGATATTTCATACTCTTGACGCTGCTAACCGTCGCCGTTTTTAATTATATCCTTTAATTTTTTTCATATCATACACGGCATTGTTATAGTGCCATTAACGGAGGCCACGATATCTTTCGATCATTCTTGCTATTTTTGTGCTTCTTTTATTTATAGGAGAGGGGGCAAACCAGCATGCGGCTCTCCTGATTGTAAGTGACTACCGCCGCCCATGAACAACCGCAACACCAGGGAAATTGCAGATGCGTTGCCGGCCTTTTAAAAAGGAGTAGGCTCTTTTCTTGAAGGTCCCTAAGTCGTATCGGTCCGGAAAAATCGCTGGTGGTAATCGATTCCACAAGGAAGTCGTACGAGGAAGAAAACATCTTCTAAATCGCACAGTGGTGGACCGCCAATCATCCAGATGGTGTGGATGGTATCGGAAGTTCTGCCGCGATGTGCGTTCGTGAAATTTGGCGGCTGGGATTAATCCGAACAATACATCAGAGCACTCCCCGTGGTAGATACGAAAGAAAATGCAAAGGCATGCAACATCTCTTCGCAGTGCTAATGAATCGAGCCGATCGGAAAGGACTCGGTCGTTGACGATTCGAGCCGCTCTGCGCTGCATGCGGTCAAGTGGAAGGAGCTGGCACTGGGGAGCTCCTGCCCAAAGATGGGAACAGTATTCCATGTGAGGCCGAACCTGCGCCTTGTGAAGTTGCAGGCGGTGTACCGGCATGAAATACTATCCCGTTCTGCTGAGCTCAATTTTAGCTTTTTAGAGGTCAATTTGGCCTTCCAAGTGACTACGAAACTGCACGTCACTCGATATGTCGACTCCGAGGATTCCGATACTGGCTGAGGCAAGAAGGGGAGTGCCTTGAAACTGAGGAGATACAACAAAGGGGTTTTTTTTAGCGGTAAACGCGCAAACTTGTGTCTTCTGAGGATTAAACTTTACTAGATTTAGTTGCCCCCAATCCGAGACTTTGTTCAGCAAAGATTCGACTTCAGACACAAGTTTGTTCCGGTACTCGGCAACGTTTTCCCGAGAAATATTGGCACGGCCGGTGTATAGAGCATCACCAGTGCTGTCATCCACATAGCAATGAATGTTACCAGTTAGCAACATATCATTGATATGCAGAAGAAACAGCGTTGTTG